ATGTATGTTTAGCCTCATTTGACATTAGCCCAACTATCAGCACAGAAATGAAGACCTCGGCCAAGACCATGCCCTATCTCGCAATGTTGTGAAAAAACTAAATGTGTAAATGTCAACAAGGAAATATGAAATGAGAATTGTAATTTATTGTTTCTAGTAAGCATACTGATGATTAATTAGAGCTTGGTTTGCAAGGTGACACGTTAAAAGTTTTACTATGTTGGCTAAAGTGAGTTCCCACACACACATACAGTAAATACACACACATACACACACATAAGTAATTGAACAGGCGTCGGCACAGTGTGGTGGCAACATCTGTTTGAAATGTATAATGAGCAGTCAGGGGAGAGGACCACACACACACACACACACACACACACACACACACACACACACACACACACACACACACACACACACAGGTGTGTTTTCTGGCAGTGACTGAGCTCGGTTGCAGGTCAGAGGAAGGCTAAGAATAAACTGACCCTGCTGAGCCACACACACACTCACACACAGACACAGACAGACACACGTAACTTTGTCTTCTGCACACATGCCTTCTGACTACCAAAAAACAGAAAAGAAAGAAAGGAAGAGAGGGCATAGAGGGATTTAATTACCTCGTGTGCATAATGTGAGTCCAAATAATGAATACATATAGATTAACTATGCTGCATATCAAGAGTATGTGTGTGTGACTTCCCACAGTGACACTGAATAAATTCCACTCGAGTGAGAGAACAACATACTAACGATAACGCACTTACATATTATTCATGTCTTTTTCCTCCTTCACTCCTTTCCTCAGTTCATTAATAAGTCATGTATCTCTCTATAACTTCTCCTCCTTGTGTTTTTATCCATGTTCCTGACTCCTTCTCCATACATGTGTACTGCATATGAAAACACATTTTTGGGTCAGAATGAATGTATGCTACAAAGCATTGATAAAGATATTTACAAACATTATAGTTGAATTCCCATTTCAAGTGTTTCTGAACTATTTGACTTATGTTGGATAGAGCCAGTGCTGTTTTGCAAAACTGGCCCCCTGCAGGTGGTTCTTATTAACTGATATTGTGTCTTTATTTCAGAAATCATCCACTTGTTGAAGTATAAATGAGCAAATATGCCTTTGTCCCTCATCTGAAACTATGAGGAGGGGAAGTAAGAGATAACGGAATTTTCTTGATGGTGTCACATTATTTTCTATGAATAAGATATTAATACATTGAGGTGAAGCCCCCTTTTTTCTTCACTTCCTTCTCCTCTCCTCTTGTCAGTTCAGCTCCAATGCCTTTCAGATTTTCCAAGAATTTGAAGCAGCACTCTTTCCCCATCTACCCCTCCTCTCTTCTGTGATCCATCTACCCACTTTCTACCACTTTTCCAGAAATCTAATTCCATCAGACAGGATAAACAACAAAAGTGACAGATTAATGCAGGTGTGGTGTGGTTGCTTAAATGCGCCGAAATAGACCAAATGGGTAAACAAAACTATTACGCAGCACGAAGGAAGACATGCTGTCAGACAGGAGAGAACAGAAAGAGGTGTGGAGGGTGAGTTATGTCTGGGTTGTGATCCAGCTAAATTGCCTTGGCAGAAAGTCCCTTTTTCTCTGAGTAAAGGGTTAGACAGAGATAGATGGATGGAGAGGGTGAGGGGAGGGATAGAATAAGGAGAGGTGGAGAGGTAAGAAAGAAGCAGTGGAGCAAGATAAGAGCAAGGCAAGAGAGAGAGGAATGGTTTGAACAGGTAACGGTTAAAGACTGAAAGGAGGAAGATGCTAATCAGGAGGGTGAAAAGGGAAAGAGGAGAGTTGACAGGGAGGTCAGGGAAGAAGGGAGGAGGACAAAACATAAGGAAATCTAAAATTATACCAAGCAGAAATGCGGGGGGATGGGAGAAAGGGGGAGAGATGTTGAAGAAAGCCAATGAGAAAAAGGTTGAAAATGGCTACACAGAGGAAATCCAAGGTCAATGAAGAGCAGACATTTAATGAATAGAGAAAAGGGGAGGCAGAGAGAGGAAAGAAACAAGCGAGTGCAGCGGATTAAAGCAGCTTTACATTAGCGGGACAAGGGGCTCAAAGGCACAATGATGAAAAGAGAAAACACAGAGGGGTAGCAGCAAGAAAAAGCCATGAGAAAATAAAGAGGGGGAGGGATATCTTATGAGAGCACATCCTGTTTGCCCTTTCTTTTTTGTTGTGCTCCTGTTTGTCCATCCTCCCAAAAAGCCTTTAAAAAGAGCACCGACTGCAACGCCAAAGCATTTCTGATATCATCACTGCTGAAAGGGCAGAATCACATTCAATCCAAAGAGATTTCATATTGAAAAGGCATAATAGAAAAATAGCACAAAATGAGGCCCAAATGTAGTAAATCAAATAAAAAGCAGTATTTAGGTTATTTTGTTTTACCTGTGCTGAAGAAGTAGTGTGTAACTACCCAACAAAAAGCACACTGTGTAGTTCTGATCAATGCATGCTGCAAGCTAAAAATGGGAGTAGGTTATTTAAACCTTGGCATGGTTCTCAGAAGCTTCACAAATACAAGCTGTATTCACTGTTCATCCGCAGCCAGAGGAGGAAGATGCTTATCGATGCTCTTTGTTTACTCACAAAGTTAGAATACCGCACCCTCTGATCTCTGTAATCCTCGTGTAGCAAACAATCTAACAGTATCTTATTTAGTTTTGCACTAGAGACTATAATGAGCTTCCAGAGGACATACTGTATATCTGTTTGTTTTGCCTACTTTAGCTCCCTCTCACCCCTCTTTCAACGTTTCCTAAGCTCACTAGCTTGCTTTATAAGTAGTGACTGCATCATTGTACACACATGTACTGTACTTGGACACACACGCACGCACGCACGCACGCACACACACACAAGCATACTTTGCCTTTTTAGTAGACAAGACAAGCCTCTTTTGTACTCATACTCATGAGCAGAGGTGCAAATTAATAAGTAAAATGTACTAAAACACTGAATTTACAATTTACAATTTTTTGTACTTAACTTCACTTCATAGAGAAATAGTGTCCTTTCCACATCTACATTGATCTAAATATCTAATAGATAATTAACTCCTGCTTTACCAGCTCCCAAATTAAAGTGATGAAAACATTAATGAAGGAATAATTATAATCTAATAGCATGTTTTTTTTCTCCCAAGTCTCAAGGCCTAAAGCCAGGTTGGTCCTTACAAGAATAGATGTTCGAGAGCACACATATATAGGTTGATACACACTCCGTCTTCCCAACTTTTGTCTCCTAGAAACAAAACACACACATTTGTATTAATATAATTGTACCCTAACATCTGTCCAACCATGAATCAAACAGCACCTTGAGGAAGAGGAAACAAGCAGAAAAGTCAGACACAGACACACACACACACACACACACACACACACACACACACACACACACACACACACACACACACACACACACACACACACACACACACACACACACAACTTGCTTTATGGGACCCCAGGAGGCACTGAGGAAACTGCACTCCCAACCGCTTTATGTATTGGTCAATTTAACACCGCTAACATCAGCATATTAAAAATGCATGTGCCCAAGGACACGAGAGTGTTTGTGTGTGTGTGTGTGCGTGTGCGTGTGCGTGTGTGTGTGTGTGTGTGTGTGTGTGTATGTGTGTTCACGTGTGAGGAAACATTTGAAAGCAGAGTAGCCTACCTTGAAGAGTGGCATTATTGCGCTGTTATCTGCTTTAATAGAGCTATTTATACCGCAAATGCATGTTTCACACTCGATTAACCTGAACAGCCATTTCTGAATGAGAGTCAATCACAAAGAAAGGAGACAGAGTGAGAGGAATGGGAGACTAAAAGTATGTCAGTCACCTTTGAGTGATATAAAAACCTGATTTTAATGAATAAAAAGGTTTATTTTATTCGACTTTGGCAGAGGTGGGAAAAGTACTCAGATCTTGTACTTGAGTAAAACTAGAAGTACCAGAGTGAAGGAATTCTCTGTTACATGTGAAAGTCCTGCAATCAAAATGTGACTAAAGGATTGGCATCAAAATAAACTTAAAGTACCAAAAGTAGAAGTACTGGCCCGTTTCAGAATAATATATTTTATATGTTTTGATTATAATTATTGATGCATTAAAGTGTTATCAAAGCTGGTAAAGGTTACAGCTAGTTTGAATGACTTTGTATACTGCAGGGTAGCTTCTGAATTTACTCCAGGTGGAACTAAAGTCTGATTGGTACCACTTTACAATAAGACTACCCTTATAAAGGATTCATAAAGGGTTTCTAATTAGGTTATGAATTAGGTTGTAAACACTTTATTAATCATTAAGAACCATTTATAAACCAGTTCTAACATAGTTTTCATACATCAACACAGGCTCACTATTTGGCAAGATGACTAAGCCTTATATTGGCTACTTAGCAAGAATCAACTCAGTGGACAACAGATACCAAGGATGCTGGCTGATGAAGAAGACGGAGTAAGCTAAGTAGCCAATATAAGACTTAGCAGTACAGATAAATGTGGGCTCACTATTTGGCAAGCAACCGGTCACAGTTGCCCTGTTTATCTCATTTCTTATTAAAGCTTATTAATGATTTATAAAGTGTTCACAACCTAATTAATAAATGAATTACAAACTATTCGTAAACCCTTTATAAGGGTAGTCTTATTGTAAAGTGGTACCGTCTGATTTAAGACTTGATTATATTTCACATTATCAATCAAAATCTGCAAAGTAACTAAAGGTATTAGATACATTTAGTGGAGTAAAAGTACACCATTTAACTCTGAATTGTAGTGGAGTAGAAGTACAAAGTAGCAAGAAATTGAAATACTCAAGTAAAGTACAAGTCTAGAACTGTACGTTAGGACAGTACTTGAGTAAATATACTAAGTTACTTTACACCACTGGATTTTCGGGCCATTGGTCAAGTGTGCCTATATTCACGATTTAGTAACAGTTCCTGTACTCACATGGTCTCGTCGTTCTGGAACTCCAGCTTGCCGGCGGACACTTCGTAGTCCTCTCCCGCTCTAGCGCTGCCATCCACGGTTCGGTAGGGGACGGCCACCAGGCCTCGGGCCCCCGAAGTCCTCAACACCTTCAGCTCCATCACACCCACGCTCTCGCTCACCTTCTGACTGCCGGCCTCAAAGGTAAAGATACCTAAAGGGAAGAAAGAAGAAACATTAAAAGTGTGAAAGATGAGGTTGATAAACACCTACGCTCACTCACTACTTTGCTCTCGAGTGTGTGCTGTATATAAAGTCAAGGGGATAATAGACTACCTCCCACTCTCTCTAGATAAAAGGAAATGAGCATCAGGTAAACGCCTACGCTCCACTCAGTCACTTTAATTGTCTTTGGTTGTTTTCAAACTACTGTGGCTGAAAAGTGGTGACACTGAGGGGACCTTAGCAATACAATAATAGACCCATGTGGATTTAAAATAACGCTGGATGGGTGCAGACACTTTTATTAAAACCAGTTCTACTTTTGACACTGTCTGTTTTGCATGATCTAGGTATAGACAGAACAGAAAATAACATTTACTTCGAAAGTGAGGAGGATTTAAATCGTCAAAATTCTATTCTCCTCTGTCTTTCAAAAGTAACAGGATGATGGTAGGAGGATTGTATTTAGATAGATGATATAGAAAACCCTTAAAGAGGAGAAATGGAAACCAAGCAGACCGATCCATCTGAATTGTACGACTCAATAAGAGAGTTGCAAGTCTATTTTTGTGAGAGACAAAAAGAAACGACTAACATTAATCTCTGAAAAACAGTGCTTGTAACTAGAAGGTGCAATGTTTTCCATTATACATTTAAACGGAATATATATACATACTTTTTTTCTACACGAAAAACCATCACGATTCAATAACGTAATCGATACAGAACCAGACCATTAGGAGAATCTATAATTACAGGGGCATGAATAAAATCGTATCTATTCCCATCAAACGTTATTTAGGGGTTCAATTACCTGCGTGATCGTCATCGTAGATGGTCACTGTGGCGGTGTGGTTGTCCCCCAGCACGGCTTTGGGGGCGACGCTGGTGTCCTGCGGGGCAGTGCCGATCTCCGGATATCCAACCAGCCGAGGGTTACTGAGGTGGACGTAGAAATACTCATCCTCCTCGAAGATGTCATCGTCAATCACTCCGACTGTGATCTCTGGGGAAAGAAATGTCATTACAGGTTGGGACAGAATAGTTTACTGTAGTTAGTGCTGCATATCTAATCCAAATTGAGGAAAATCCTTGTTTTGGTACAGATCTTCTTATAAGGGTCACACCATGATAACTTTGATACAATTTCCAAGTGATAAATGTTTTAAAAATTATCTCCTATATCTTTAAACATATCAAATTGCAATATCAGGCCAAATAATCACAATAAGTTATTTTGTTCTAAACAGTACAGCCTTAGCAGGATTCTTCTTTATGAAACATTATTCCAAAAAGAAAATGTTAGCGTTCCCTGTGGATGATCTGTTTGAGCCTCAGTCTAAGCGATGTGTTTTTGGAAAATATGCCATACATTATTGCTGTGAGTTTTTATTTTACCTTTGAGGGTCTCTCCCGGCTTGAACAGCAGCGTTCCCTCTGCAAACTCATAATCCGAACCTGCGTTTGCTGTGCCGTCCTCTGTGCGATAATCCACCTGGGGGAGAGCGGAGCACACAGAGAGGGGAGGCGGGGTGAGACAATGGCAAAGGGAGAGCCGTCAGAAGATAAAACAGAACGGAACGGAAAAGGGCAAATAAACACAAAGGGAAAGGAGAACATGGAAAAAGAGACGGAGGCAAAGAAGAAGAGGAGAGGCATTTGGGGAACAGAGGAAATTCAAGAGAAAGTGCTCCATTAAAGTGAGCCCTGTGGTCAGACACAGTGTGAAAATAAACACTTTGAATATAGTACAAAAAAACTTCCCCTGTATCCTCTCCATCTGCCCCCATGTTAACCCTCTGTACTCACAAATGCACCCTCACTGTTTAGAATCAGGTAACAGATTGTGTCGTCTTTTCAGAAATTCCCATTACTTCATACAGACGTACTGTGTATGAAAAGCTGGCTCAGTGCTGGGGGCGCTTTTATTCCCATTCTCTTCACACTCGCTCCGCTCTTGATGAAATGCGTGTGAGTGACACAACTCTGAACCCTTTTTTACATGTGCCTTTTATTGCTGGGACTACTCTATACTGAGGACTCATTATATTTCAGATTTTTTAAACATGAAGAGACATTATGACATTTTGGAATTATGATTGTGTGAATATAATAGCAGGAGATGAATGAATTGATGAGTGGGTTTCAGCCGAGAATATAGCTAGGCTTTATTACTGTAACTGTACCACTGTAGGTTTAACTTAATTAAAAGTATGCATTTTCCTATGGCACCTCATTTATAAAATACAGCACATTGCTAGGAAACTGTTCTTTTTGGTATGGATGGACAAGAATGTGGTTTCCCATAAATAATTTTGCCATTTACAAATTATTTAAGTAGACTTCGACTGGGCGACTGTGGCTGTGAGGGAGTGTGGTCGTCTTTCAACCAGAAGGTTGTGGGTTCGATCCCAGCCCATGCAGTCAACATGTCGATGTATCCTTGGGCAAGATACTTAACCCTGAGTTGCTCCCGATGGCATGGCCAACGGTGTGTGAATGTGTGTGAATGTTAGGTCCTAGAGTAAGGTACACTGCTCTGTATGAATGGGTGTGAATGGGTGAATGACATGTAGTATGTAAAGCGCTTTGAGGGGTCTTAAAGACTGGATAAAAGCGCTATATAAGTACAGTCCATTTACCATTTACTTCAAGCTACTATAATCTTTTTTCTGTATTGGCTCAAATGACTTACTAAGGTTTTGCTCATACTGAGAAACCCACATTAAATAATGATAGTTTTAACATTTAGCTCTTTATTTTGGTTTTCCAGACTAACTTGACTTAGTGGGGCAAAAAGGTATTTAGTCAGCCACCAATTGTGCTCCCACTTAAAAAGATGAGAGAGGCCTGTAATTTTCATCCTTGGTACACTTCAACTATGAGAGACAAAATGGGGGGAAAGAATCCAGGAAATCACATTGTAGGATTTGTAATGAATTAATTGGTAAATTCCTCGGTAAAATAAGTATTTGGTCACCTACAAACAAACAAGATTTCTGGCTCTCACAGACCTGTAACTTCTTCTTTAAGAGCCTCCTCTGTCCTCCACTTGTTAACTGTATTAATGGCACCTGTTTGAACTCGTTATCAGTATAAAAGACACCTGTCCACAACCTCAAACAGTCACACTCCAAACTCCACTATGGCCAAGACCAANGATTTGCCCCGTTTCTAGGTAGAGACTACCCATTGGTGCGGGAATTCGGAAGATTTGACACTGATGTCTAAAGATCGGTTACTATGACCGTGAGCAAACCCTCTTCCCACCCAAGGTAGATAAACACGTAGATCTTGGTGCATCCAAAGTAAGGTCCGCGGCATCAGGGAGTCTTCCCATTGTACTCCTCCCAAAAATCTACCATCGGATCTTCGTCCGAGTTTCTTAAACCGGTGCTACTAACGCCTCGTCCAGTGATCTACGCTCTTTCGGATACTGGTTTAATCTTACCCGTATTAGACAACAATATGGTGCGCAGTTTTATTAACCGGAACACCCGGGTTAACCTATCTCGACCTAATTCCAAGAGCCATATCGCGAGGAAGAAGAAAGACAACCATCCTTGATTACAATTAATAGTTTTGCAACAGGGGCCAATGTCCGCCCGCCCACCACTCCCCGCCCTTCCCACAAGGACAACCGCATCCAGCGCGCGATGACAAATAATACCGCCAAGATCTTTGGGTAATCGGGACACGTTTAAAGCGCTGGCGATTACCACTTGTTATATACCACATTGTAAGTACCTGTGCTAAAGTTAATTTATACATGCGACTAGCTATATAAGAAATGAAACCGTTCGGCGTGAGAGCATATGGGCGGTCAAAACTGATACTCGATGTCACATATAACACGGCATAGATAATGGCCCTGCTCATGGAGGGAGGCATGGCTTCAGATTCTAATATTTCATTGAATAACAACAGTAAATATGGTGAAAGCTGTTCTTTAAAACATTTATAGAACTCTGTTCCAAAACCGTCGTCCCCTGGAGTTTTCCCTGATGCCATCTTCATGATTGCGTTTTCTATTTCATTTTGGGAAACAGGTGCCTCCATAGCAGATCTGTCAGCCAAGCTGACGCTCGGGAGGTTAAAATCTCCGAAAAAGCTATCTAAGGCTTCTTCATTCAAGTTATTTTTTGTGCTATATAATTTAGAATAATAATTCTTGAAAGATTCATTGATTTTGGCTGCATCACACTGTAGTCTGTCATGCTCATCTCTGATCACTGGAATAATCTGTCTGTTTTCTATTTGTTTCAATCTATGAGCTAACATTTTCCCTGCTTTGTCTCCGGATTCAAAGTATGTTCTTCGTAAACGAAAAAGAGCAAAAGCTCTCTCCTCATGTACAAGTTTCAATATTTATATATTATAACATTTTATATTTACTATTCATCTTAAAACATGTATTGGAAACAGTGGCAAGTCAGGTTTTTTACTCCCAAGTCCAAGTCCTTTATTTTTCTGGTCTAAACTGCACTGTATGTTATATATTTGTATACAACAATGTTTGAAAAGATGATGTCTAATGTGAAAAGGGTTGTCTGTCATGACAACACGAAAAGTATCCTCTGGACCCTGCAGAATATTCTTTATTTTGTATTATTCTTTTAGCTCATTGTGTTGGTTTAACTTATTTGATTGAGTCCTGCAGCTCTCATTAGCGTTTTGATTGTAATGAAACTTGAATAAATTGCTGTTAGTACCTGCTTCGCATCAAACAGCAGACAGACAAATGGAGCAGCTAGTTTGTGAACATAGCGCAGCATTTAGTAGCTAAAGAGACATGTACTTTTCTTTTTCTCAAGGTTGATAGAGACCAAACGCAGAGCTAACAGGAGAGTATACTTTGGCTATTGCCCAGGTGACCAATACTTAAGATAAATGATAATGTTGCTTTGTGTATGATGAATGATTAATAGACAACTGGAGGAGGGAAGTGCTGCCTGTGAGGTTGCGCTCAAGGCAACAGCTTCTCATTCTCTGTGCTTCTGCTCATAAATCCTTTGGTGTGAGCACACGGTGAAGGCCAAAATGTTTAAAGTTTAATGACTCTTTAACTTGGGACTGTCTCTCATGTGGACAGGATGAACATGATATTAAATGTAGGTGGACAAACTGAATTTCCTGAATTAAACGTGGCCTTGAGTCTTTCATTTGTGAAACCTTACACACAAGACAGTATGGTGCATTTGTGTGCAGCCAGCTGTAAACGATGTTCTTTACTGCAATTTTCATACTGCTGTACAGAGTTTGGCAGTGAGTGAATATTAGCTGAGCTGAGAAAAAAGGCAATCAGGGATACGACAGAAATATGTTTGTTTTCATGACGGGGAAGCTAAGTGCCTTTTCAGTTAATTTATTTCGAGTGGAAACAGATGAAAAAAAAAGCATGAGAAACAGTTTGACCCCGCAGGTGAAAAGATAGAGAGAGATAGTGAAACATAAACGCATGTCACATAACACAATGACCAATACACAACAGTGTCAGTCAGCTTTGTAGGGCTCAAGTTGCTGACCTTGTACTCGAATACTCTCACACACACACTCCACACTCAGGGGTAGCCAGCCTTGGGCAAAAAAAGCGCTGACCCGGTCCTCACAGAAACGCACACACACCAGCACACACACCAGCACACAGTTAATCATCTGTCATGACTTCAGCGGGGAGCTGTGAACCTGTCTTCATCTATCTTCCAGGGTCTAGCTGCTCTGACTACAACCTGTCACTTCAATCCTCCACTCGCTCCTCTCCACCGCCGTCATCCCACTACTGCTACCCTCCACTGCCTTTTTTAGATTAAGCTCCTGTATCAGAGATAGCTATAATATTTCAGCTCATACTGATTAAAGGTTATGTAATATAACAGGTTTCACATTAAATGAATAAGATGGCATCCTTATTGGAACGTTCAAAAATAATCAAAATGTACGCAGACATCTTCTGTCCTAATCCAGGCCTTCTTGTTCATTGTGTGCCTACATTACCCACAATGCAACTTGAATTAGCTCAACTGTAAGAAAACAGTTTTTTCAATTGCATTTACATAATCATCACTGAACCGTGCAAACTCAACAAGAGCTGCAATTATTAGTCGACTAATTGACTATATTACGACTTAATGTTGAAGCCATTTCACTGCCAAATGTGCTGTTTTTAGCCTCTCAAATATCAATAATTATTACTCTTCTCTGTATTATATTGTGTTAAAGTGAAAATATATGGGTTTCTGACTGAAAAAGCAAGATATTTAATACTTGGACTTTCAGAAACTTTTTCTGACATTTTATAAACCAAATAAACGATTCATCTAAAAACAATGGGCAAGATATTCATTAATGTAAGTGTGTTAAGGATTGCATTCTTAAACTCATATGTGAGACAAAAAGTATGCTTAAAATGATCATGGGGCTTGGTTTGGGAATCGAAGGGTTGCCGGTTCAAGTCCTAATTGGACCAATACAGGGTGTGGACTGGTCTTTCCCCCTCAATCCTATACCCATGATGTCCATCTCTATGTATTTCATACTGAGTCAGTAAATGTCCTGCCATCTCTTGTCTCTCTCTTCGTCAACACACGCTCACTCATCACTACACGTCTTAAGCACCTCTCCATATCCCCTGCTCGCTCCGTCTTTCACACCTCCTTCCATCTCATCGCTCTTAATGTTTACCACATCTGTCACATATATAGTCCTGCAAAGATAATAAAAATGAAGCAGGGTTGTTAATAGAGTAATGAAATGTCTCTGGTTAAACATGCAGTGGTACTGAAATTTAGCGTAGTAGCACATTTTTGTGTCAAGGTATTTTATTTTCTATTGATGCATTTAAAAAGCTATTAACTTTTACTTGAGCTGAGTCAAGATAACTTTACATTTTTAGACCTGACTCAATAAAAAAGTGCAAGGCTGCATGACAAAAAGAGCAAGTCAATACAAAATGTGAAAGCTGCAAAATATTAGAGGGTGCTACACAGATGCATTGTAATGAAGTTAAGTAGGATTTCTAACTGTACTGAATAGCATAAATGCTTTTACCCTTTCCTTTCTATACTTGAACAGCGCTGCACACTTTGATGTTTGACAGCAGTGACATCAGGATTAACCGAAGCACACATTAAAGGGGTCAAAAGTGCGACATTTATGCCAAATATATGTTCAAAACAAAACTTTAAACAAACAATGATACCAGTCCAGAGCTAGAACTGACTTCCTGTAACCTTCTGTGCATGTGTATGTGTGCGTGTGCGTGTGCGTGTGCGTGCGTGCGTCCGTGCGTGTGTGTGTGTGTGTGTGTGCGTGTATGTGTGCGCGTGTGTGTGTGTGTGTGTGTGTGTGTGTGTGTGTGTGTGTGTCTTATTTCCCCAAGGCTTTCTTCTTGTAGAACATGAATCATACTGACAGATCTCACACACACCATGACCTGTCCTGACTTTTCTCAAACTGAGGGTGATGTCTGTGTAAATTCAGTTGCATGTGCACATCCAAACGCACATAATGTGCTAATCATTGACAAGCTCACAAAAATGCACACCTGCTTTTAATCAGGCCAACAGGTGTTCACAGTGCGTTTGTGTGTGGGTGCATGTGTGAGAATGGAGGCAGATAATGTGATGATTGGATGATGCATGTTTACGCAACTTCGTAGGTGAAAGGTTGGAAGACATTGATAAAACAAGTGGATAATGAGCAAGAGGAGGAGAGGAAAGGAAAGGAAAGGGATGGGATAGGAAGGAAAGGGAAAGAAAGGAAAGGAAATGTATGGTATGGGATAGGAAGGAAAGGAAACTAGAGAAAAAAAAGTTTGATTTTTACTGTCTTGAAAAAATTGCACCATGTCTTCAAATAACTGTTAAAAAAATATATTGATATTTTCTTAAAGCCTCAATGGATTTAAATTGTTGTGACATGCAGAGTGGATTTACAGGATAATATGTAGTACATACTGATTCACTCAGTCACTTCTTTTGCAGTATTTAGCTACTGTACTGCAAATGCAAAGAGAATATTACCTGCTGTCTCACATTAGAAGTGGTAACCTGTTGCTCTTGTGTTTCACGTTTAGTCAAATAGGCCGTTAACACCAAAGGTGTGGCCACATTTCCCAGAACTGGAATCTACTGCATTGAGGATTATTACGTAACAGCCCTGGGAATAATGGAGGTAATCTCCTATCTAAATGCAATATGCAACAGAGGAAAAGACAACAATAAAAAAGTAATGACCAAAAAGAAATAATCTGCCCGGGGAAACGGTAGCTGATTAAACCGGAACAACAATGCCTGCGTCACAATTGAATTTGGAAAATGTTAAGTACAGCATGTGCCAGAGGGCCAGCATGAAGGATGCAATGAAGTCAGACAATGCACATAATCACACCCACTGTAAAGCACGTCACACACACGCACGCACGCACGCACGCACGCACGCACGCACGCACGCACACACACACACACACACACACACACACACACACACACACACACACACACACAGATACCAAACCTAGCCGTTTATTTAGTAGCAGTAGGAGCCTGAACCATGGTTGTTGATTCATATTACATCATCGTAGTGTCGCTCCTGCCTCGTTTGGCGCCATGATTCAGCACACACACACACACACACACACACACACACACACACACACACACACACACACAACACACACAA